AAGGCCGACGGGCCGCGCTTGGATGGCGCAGCCACCTCAGCGGGGACGGAGGAGGGTAGGGCAGGGCGGATGCTTCATCTGCGCCGAAGGAGGGTGGTGGGCGGGCCAAAAATATAAGCCGCGCCACCCCGGACCCCGGGGAAGCGGCGACCTGGGAGAGGACCACCACAGCCAGCAGTTTTATTTAGCTGGAGGATGATAGGTGGCCTAAGCTCACTAACTCGTCACCGGAAACATATTGGACTGCCGTAATGGGTTAGAGAGATAGAGAGTTTTATATCTCCCTAGTGGCTCGCTGGTACAGAGCCACCAAATGTCCTCCCCCTCCTTAATACTTTCTAACCCTGCTATAGTTGCCTCCCGCACTGTAATAGACGGAGAGTCTTCCTGGACCTAGTGAGGCAGATCCTCTGCCCGTTCGTCCATCGTTGATCGTGCATGGATTCGGCGCTTTCACAGCTCCCTTATTTTCCTTGCACATAAAAAACTGCGTATTGCGGTGATGGAGACGTTGACAGTGGTTCTGTCTGCATTTTGTGTTGTGAACGCGAAAATGGGGACGCCATGTCGTTCAGGAAATGATTGTGCGGTGATCAATACACAGCGAGACATCCGACAATTCACAGAGCAGGCTCGAAAGGCGGCGAGCGAGGCTGGAGATGCCATGCGAATGAGTCAAGCTACCTCTGTGGCTCGCGAGGCAGCGACGCGGGTCTTGGAAGAGCTATCCAAGTCAGAATCTCAGGTTGCAATAGCATCAGTTGCAAAGTCTAGTGCACAGGCTGCTGCAAACACCGCTCATGCTTTGGAGAAAGGGGGTGAGGTTGGCGAGGTCGATGGTGCAAACACCCTCCATCTGCATCACCACGGCGAATCACGGGTGGTAGCTATGGCATTGGCTGCCGTGCACGCTGCAGACGAAGCGACCGCAGCGGGCGTGGCAGCAGCGGCAGCGCGCACCGCAGCCCGGTCACACGAAGGCGCAGAGACTGTTGATGTGAGCAGAGCCAAGAGCTCCGGCGAGGTGAGACTAATCGCGCGTATGGCTAGAGAGGCAGAAAGTGCGCTGGCATTGGCAGCCGAGGACGAACGGCTCCACAAATATGAGGCGGTGCTTGCTGAAGCCCAAGCTTCAAGCCAAAGAATTCAGGCGCAGACTCGCTTGGCTCATCACGCAGCGTACGAGGCACGACACACGGCACGACGCATCGCCATTGCTGCGGATGATGCAAGAGCGCGGCTCGCAGTGGGTCACGGCGTGTTTCCATCACGACTCAGATGTAGATGGGTAAAGATAGGTCGCCGCCGACACAGCCATGAACGCGGCCGTGAATGCTGCGAGCGAAGCGCGCGAGGCGAAGCGGCTAGCTGCGACCACAGCGGAGATTGCACGTGCTGCGATATCCAGAAGTGGTATCTGTAGCGCCCAGATGCGCAATTTCTCGCAGTCTGGCTCTCAGTGTGCGGAGAGGAGGCCTAGCCCGCCTGCGGGGGGAGGTAGGGGGCAAGGACTCGACAGTTTAGACAAAGAAGAATGGAATGAGCTCGGTTTTTTTGCATCACGTTTCAACGCGAAGACAATTTACACGGAGCACGTGCAGATCATGTCACATATGCACTTTAATCATCTAGCAGCATTTAACCCATCGCTGGTCCGCATACCCAAGAAAATAATCAAAGATTTGCGGTCTAAGTACCCAACGGCTCGATATGTTGCTTCAATTCGGCATTCATGGGGACAGTGTCAACGTTTTGAGACACTTTATAAGCTGGCGGCCTACATTGTCTATGGGAAATTTAAATCGACTGCGGAGGCACCCGGTCGCCACTCCTCCATAGTATTACTAGATGAGAATTTTTGCATTCTTGACATTGCCCGACAGGTGTTCGCAGAGGAAGTTGACCGCCCAAATGATGTCGGGTGGCTTGCTGAGGATGTTCGTCTCCTCCTTTACGACAACCGGATTCTCGCAACAGCAGTTCTATCATCGGAGACGGGGAAGTACTTCCTGCATGATTTCAAGCAGCGATTCGTCGTACAAGAGGTCATTCCAGAGATCCAAAGCGAGATATTCACGGTTCGTTATGTTGCAGCTCCTGCGGAGATTTACCCTCAGCTCGCTAACTACACTGCGGTGACAAATTCTCGCAACCTCGGTCTGCTAGTACTGGACGGCACGCTTCAATTTCTCACCTTCCTCGGCCTGCAGGCAGAGATGCAGTCTCAATTGCTACCGCTGCCTGAACTTCCCACCACGTTACCTCTCCTCGGACACTTCGGGAAGTGGCTCCACAACAACGTAAATCCGCTCGTTATTGATCATCTCGGCATGTTCGTCACACCGCGTGACTCACTTCAAATTGGTTCTGCAGAGCCATCATGTGTAGGTTTCTTGTCGTTGGGCATGAGCACGAGCACGAACAACGCGAAAAAATATTTAAGACCACAAGTTGGCATACGTATCTTCATTACTTCATGCTTT